ATATGGTACGATTTCTGCCTCTTGAAATATTCCAACGCCAAGTTCTTTGGGAAGATTGACAACAGAAACAAGTTCTACATGTGGAACGTGCAAGAAACCGACAACGATCGGACGTCGTTTAACGAACAAGTCAAGAGCTTGCTGACGGATTTGGCTGAAAAAGTTGTGAGTACGCAGAAGTTGTATGTGATTGGGGAGGTGGAGATGAAAAAGTTGAAAACTTTGGAGAAGTTGTATGGGTTGGTTCAATGCAGTAGAGATCTGTCGAGTGGTGCGTGCAAGAAGTGCCTTGAGATCGCCATTGGTGAGCTTCCCAGCTGTTGTGATGCTAAAATTGGTGGACGAGTTGTTGGTGGGAGTTGTAACTTTAGATATGAACTTTACCCCATTGTTGATGCTCAAAAGTAAATTACTTTTTCTATCATGCAAAAAATATAATAAAAGACGAGCTGGGTTCATACTCATATGGCAAAAGCTCAGTCACAAGTTAGATTATGAATTTGGTGTCTCAACGAGATCACTATCTGTATTTACACAACGATATGATGTTGTCCATTGACATAACCTTACTTTTAGTTTGGTTTGGATACCATGTATCCTTTTGCTATAAGATCGATGCTAATTTATATTTTCAGTAACACATATTATATAATATATCATTTTGAGAATATAAAGAAGGATCTTTAAGCACTCATGTTTAGTTTTTTTTTAGTTTAACATGTGATGATGGAGATTCGAATCTCAGTTGGACGTGGAAGCACTACTAGAAAATAGGATTTTAGAGACGCAGAAAAAAATTGCTGAAAGTCTCAAAACATCGCTAATAAATTTAGTGACCAAACCTTTTTTGTTGTCGTAGACGTTGCTAATACCACGTCATCGTAGTTTTCAATGACCAAAAAGTTGTGTCGCTAATAATACTTACAACGATGTGCCCATTTCCAGAGACACCGTTACATAATGGCGTCCTTAAATATCTTCTAGTGACTTTTTTCACTGACGTCTCTGAAACCTCGTCATTGAAGGATTATTTTGTTGCAGTAAAGATATATGTTTTACCTAGTTGTCAACATTTAATTGGGTAGAAATTACCTATAACCTCTCCTACGAACCCATAATTTAATAAATCAAACCAAAGTTGTAAAATTCTTACCTAATTCATTGGATTATTGAATTGATTTAATCAAATATTTAGTTGGGCTTAGTCAATTTTGATGGTTGCAAATTGATGTTGAGCATACAAACATTGGATCCATGATTGCACAATGCAATTTTCCACCAAAGACAAATAGATTGTGATCAATAGATATTGACAACAACCTATAAATATGATTTGACATGTTACTAAAGCAAACAATTTTAAGTTCAAATCTTGGTAATCTTATTTCTTTTCATATATTAAAAGGTTAAACTAATTCCAGACCCAGTTGTAATTTTATTTTTTTAAAAAAATAGAATGATAAGAAAAGAAAGGGTTAAAAAAATGAAGTCATATATAAATCTAATTCATGTAGGATTATATATGTAAACCATCAAATAATTGTGTTGCTAGAAAGATTAATACTTAAATTAAATGAATTGCAGTAATCCAACTGTACTAAATCTTTTAAGAAAGATTTTTTCCGTACTAAATGATCACTTAAAAAAATGTATATATGTAAAAAAGTCATATACGCAAATGAAGTGCGCCATATTAAATGCATTGATATATGTAAATTATGAAGTGCCCCATCCAATTATATAATAAATCCTCAAAAAATTATATATTTGCAAACGAAGCCCTCCAAAAGTGGGCTTAGATAAGTTATAGAGCACATACGATTCAAATGGGTGCTGACACACAATTACTCTACTTTCTCAAATT